CACACATACAGAGGTACATACCTAAATATATTGTCTAAAGCATTTATCTACTCGTATACATTTGCTAATGGCAATAATTTGTATTTGTGTTGGTCTCTTTTTTTTCGGGCCTCTCATTCACGACGACGCGTCGTCGACTCTTTTTTTTGGGCTTCTCGGATTTTTTTTTAAGGCAAAAACATGGCGTGAATAAATACAACAATTTTGTTTCGAATAAACTAAAAGTTTGTTGTTGGCGGGAATACATTTTTTGCTGGATTTTAAAATCAACGTTGTGTTATGTTTGGATTATGATTGAAAGATCACGCCCGGCATTAGCGAGAATGGGAGCAGAGCATTACGATGCCTTAAGTAAGCAGGAATTTTGGAATATAAGAACACTAAATGGATATTTTGGCTAAATCTGTGTCTTAGGCCATCCATCAGAATGCTGATACATACAATCCTTTCGCATGGCTTTGAAGTCCTTTAAGCGTTTTCCTTTGCGATTTTAAGAAAAAGGTTGACTGTGTGAAGTGGTTGATGGCTAAATGCAAGTTTTTGGTCAACAAACCAATCACCAGCATTAGTAGACATCCTTCTCCAAGTTATACTTGGCCAGTTGGAACGAATTCCCCATAAATAATTTCCTTTCGACCTTGCACTTTTGACTTCTCCAAACGACTTCTGGGTGTTTCCAATTAAAACATTTTGGTTTCGCTTGGTTTCAGGATCGTTTTGAAAACACCATACTCCATTACTAATCACAATTATGTACAAAGAGCTTGGACTTTTTTTTGAGACCCCTAATGGTGTCCTTTGAATGTAAAATTCTGAGCAATTTTCGGGTATTTTTGTTCGTTCAGCACAAACACACAGTCTTACTTGGTTTACTATAACTTGGCTTCGATTGTCATGAAATTTTGACGGGATGTTATTAAAAAGATGAACCTAAGCAGCACAAGCAATATAGTGTGGCATCCAAAAGTCATAAAGTCCTGTTTACTTTGGAATTTACTTTGTGGTAGAGTTTTAAAAGCAAAAAAAAGAACGTACTCCCCTTTTGTTTCTTAGCCTTTAATTGTGTTTGGAATATCAGTTAACTTTTAATACAACAAATAGAAACCGCAATAGCAACTTTTGTTTAGCATTCAATAATACATTTCGTACTTTCAAGCTTAATTCACTTTTTTATTGATAATTTTTTTACTTTTTAATAAGTTTTACAACTTGAGCTTAAGACACTTTTAGTTTTGTTTTTAAATTATTTTCCGTTTTCATCTTTGAAGGTAATTAGAAACAAAGCTTACAATAATATTTCATGTCTTTGAGACGTGAATCGGAGCTCCGAGTGTCCTCCAACATTTATCAAAATAAAATGTACTTTTAAGAAAGTCTAAAACATTATCTTAATGGCATTAATATATGGCAATATTTTACTGCAATTTTTTAATGCATTCAGTCTGATGATGGAATTAAATGATAATGCTTTAAATGCAGAGTAGAATTCCAGCAAAAAAGGAGCTAATTACTTTTTAATCATTCAGTTATCTAAGCTATAGGCTTTTTTAAAATTGTTTCCCGCTTTCATCTTTACTTGAGGGGAATTAGAAACAGAGCCTGCAATATTGCTTCATATCGTTGAGACGTGAATCAGAATTCCGAGTTCAGTGTCCTCCTCCATTTATCCAATAAATGTACTTTTAAGAAGGTCTAAAAAATTATCTTAAGCTATTTTACAGCAATTTTTTAATGCTTTAAATGCAGAGTAGAATTCCAGTTAGAAAAAGTACAAGTAGATGATTACTTTTTAGTCACTCAGTTATCTAAGCTATGCGCTTTTTTCTTTTTTGGAAATGCTGATGAAATTTCGACCAAAGATTGCTTTGCAGTTGTCTGTGTGTGTGTGTGTGTGTGTATTACGTGTGTGTATTACGTGTGTGTATTACGTGTGTATATATGTTCATTCATGCTGAGATCAAATGGAGAGGCTTTGAAGAGCCCGCCACTTCCACTTGTGACGTATTTTAATTATGAGTAGCGGCATGTAATTTGCTATACTTGTATACTATATAGATGTATATAGTATATAGCAGACACATGACCATATAGACAGGCCTCTATTAATAAGCAATAAAATGAGAGTCGACCGCAGCCGCGGCCAATTGAAGCCAATGAAAAGCTGACATGAAATGAAAAAGCGTGTGTCAGCCAAACGAACAATTTGTTTGAATTCCAATGTACACACGAGTATGTGTATCTCTATACAGATATACATACAGATGTACATATGTATAGTATGTATAAGCTCTGTTCATCTGTACATCTCTATTACTCTCTGCGAATTGTTTTTTTTTTTTTTTTTTTTTGTTCATTTCTTGAGAGCGAGCCGAATGGTTTGTCGAGAGTCCGGCATTGGTGGCCCTTCTTGTGGCGTCTCTGTGTGTGGAAAAACTTTTGCAGTTTTCGTTAAGCAACGAGACACGCAAGACTCGAACGCATTATTCAAAGAATAACAAAATAGCAGACTAAACACTGACGTAGATAACAGGAATAATAAATAAATAAATAAATAAATAAAAAGCATACCGAGAGTCTCATCTAACGCGGCACTGTCGTCGACTCTGAAAGAATTTTAAATTATTTGACTGTTTTTTGTTGTTGTTCTTGTTGTTGTTGCGACTACAAAAATAGCTGCCCAACAACAATAAAACATCGTGAAAGATCGTGAAAGAGGGCGGCGTAATACTTTTTAACCAAATGCCTTCACCTTCGCGCAAATGAAATGTGAATGTGGCGTCAAAATATGTGAAAACTCGGAAAAACGAAAAACCAACACGACACATCGCGGCGCGACTCGACTCGACTCGACTCATCTCGACCCGAGCACAATAATAAAAAGTTAGACAAATTGCAGAGAGCATACCTGAAAAATTGTATAAATCAAGTGACGAGGACTATACATACATACATACGAGTTATGTGGGTGTTGTATAGAACCATCGATGTCTTGTTTGCAGAATCGTACAAAATACTATAATATCAAGTCCTCTACTGATTGATGAGTGCATTCGCACCTAAGAAATGGTGTGATGATGCATTGAAATATTCCGCTATTGTCTTCTATCTGATAAATGGAATGTGTCTTATCTTTAGCAGAAAAAAGAAGAAATAAATGAAAATCCCATCAAGTTTTTGATGGTTCATGTGACTGAAAACGAAGTGAACCCACTTCTGAACTAAATAAAACAATATTTTGTAGTTTTCTTATCGAAGCTTTAAATGTGATTTCAAAATATTAGATTCCTTTTCCTAGTAAAGTCGAAACGTTATTATATTTTCCGAAGATGAACAAATTGGTTGCAATTTAATTTGCCAGTTCGTCTAAAGGCGGAAAAATTCCTCCATAAAACTCACAAATTCGATATTAAGTTAAATATTTGTAGTAACCAAATTAATTAACATAGGCAAGAAGTATGTCTTATTTTCGAGAACTTTTTGGAAACACTTGTGAACTGCGAAAACATACTCCATATTTCCAGATAGCAAGAAACTTTACTTATTTGGAAGTGATTCCATAAAACTTAAAAATTCTATAATAATTGAAATATTTGTAGTAACCAAATTAATTAACATAGACAAGAAGTAAATCTTATTTTCGAGAACTTTTTGAAACGTTCCGCTTTAGAAACACTTGTGAAATGCGAAAACATACTCCAGACAGCAAGAAACTTCATTTATTTGGACGTAATTGCAAGGGGGTTCTTTTTTTCTAATTCAATTCCCATTCAGATCTAAATAAATGGCTTGTTATTGTTTTTAGCGACTATCACGGTTGTTTTTAGATAGTAAATCGCTTAGGGTGTTAATTTTAGTGGAAATGTAAAGTGGAAGCCCTTAATGAGAAAGTGCAATGTTTTCGCCATTAACTTGTTGAACATTTTTCTGCAGCCACGCTGGCTTTTCTCGTATGCCCGCCTTATACGTAAAAGATCGCCAGTCAAACATTGTAGGCGCTCGTGTCACGTAGACCAGATCGTCGTATACGAAATTTTGGCACATGACTTTTATATAGCACGCCAACAACAAGTGCCCACAATTCCCAATTCACAGCGCACTCACTCTCCTGTGCTTTGAAACTTGGCGAGAAGAGAAGAGAGCGCAGTGCAGCGCCTCTAATCCGAAGTCGATCGAGCAGCGGCAGCCGACGACAGCATCCGACGACATCGAATACGAATACGAATACGTAGTACGGGTACGGTGCGAGTAGTGTTAGACGGACGGACTCGTCACAGCCTCTCTCTCTCAGCCTCAATTCTCGTGCGGTAGCCTGTCGTTAGCGCGGTCGACGTCGACGTCAGCGCAGCTTTTTCGTTCGCCTATTTGACGCTGTGCCGAGGCTACGAGCAGACAGTTGCCAGCGATTCGTCGCCGTATTCGTATCAGAGTATATTATATTACGCGTTCGCTTCACTGTTGAAATTCGCGGCGAAATAATTTTAGCTATTTTTTATCCGTCCATGCCATGCGCGATAAAATATCACAACTACTTTGCTTGCAAAAAAACGCATGCAAAAATAATTCAACAGATAATAGAGGTGTGTTTACATACTTATATATTATATATAAATGTAACCAAAAAAAAAGTGTGTTTGTGTGTGTGATGCTATCAACAGGCCTAATGGCTTAAATGCGTGCCATATTAATTAACAGCAAGGCAGCAAGAAAAAAATACCCAAAGTAGAAAAAGAGAAAAAATGCTTGTGCCGCCTTTTTTGTTTATCTAACGAATTATTTATAATATTCAATAATACATTTGTGTTTGTTGTTATCGGCTCTTATTTTCCCACTCTCCCTCTCTCTCTCTCTCTCTCTCTCTCTCTCTGTCTGCCTCTCCTTCGCTCTTTCTCATCATTTTACATTGCTAACCTGTGTTTTGTTTTGTTTGTTTTTTTCAATGTTCTTCCATGTGTGCGAAAAAAAAATGAAATGACAAACAACAAAAAATGCAATCCTTAAAGGACATAATGTGCCAACAAAAGCAACGAGCAACGGGACAATGTGTGCCAATGGGACTCTTGGGACAGAAGGGCCCGAAGCGACAGAGACCGACTCATCAGGGACCGGGCGGATGCGGAAGCCGCTGGAGAGGAATGGCTCAACGCCGAACGACGCTGTTCACCTCGAGAGAAGGTAAGTCCTGATTCCCTTTAAATGACTTCCGATTCACAACATGATTAATGATAAACCAAAAATAGAAAGTACAAGTATAACAAACATTCCATAAAATTACAATATATCATATATTGATATATAAAGAAGACGTCATTATCTACATAAAACAGCAATTGATGGCTTTGCTGTGTGAATCATTCATGAAATGCATGCAGATATTGTGAAATTTGTGCGGTCTTAAAGGCTTTAATAAAACAAGCACTAGATAGTGTTTTTAAACTGGGAATTATATGAGATATCAGCAATTGTCCATACTTATCAAATAACATGGAACTGTGTGAACTAAAATCAATCAAAATAATGCTTATATTTAATAAACTCTTCACTCTTTCTCCCCCTCTTCTATATATTCGCAGGCTGGGCCTCTTCAGTGGGGTGGCTTTAATTGTTGGAACTATGATAGGTAAGTCTGCTGATTAAATGTTGAATGTTTTGATGATAACTGAAAAGCTACAATTTCGTGAGACTTTAACAAGAATTATAAATTATATATAAATTATTAAACCTTAATTTTTATGCACAAAAATATCTTGAAAATTTGAATAAGTAAAGTAATACATGTCAGGACTTGATGGAAATAATAACAAACGAGTTTATTTTATTCAAAATATTTTTCTTGCGAATAGAGATGCACTTTGTACGAATGTGCTGGGCCATCTGCTGCCATGTCCTTCCAGCCCTTTGAATGGCTACAACGTCCTTAAAGTGTTCTCCTCTTACGGACAAATGCAATCCTAGGAAAAGTTAATACTCATACGAAGTCAAATCAGGGGAGTGGTCGATGATTAAAATGCCATATTTTTTTGGGTTAATAAAATCAGTCACGAGTGTCATCTGATAAGACGAAGCGCTTATCATTATTATCAATTCCATCAGAGTTTGCTTTGAACGTAGTATTTATACTCTGTACATGAAATGTACAAGAGTATATTAGGTTTGCGGGAGCTGAAAAATGTAACAGGCAGAAGGAGGCGTGGCAGACCCCACAAAGTATATATATTCTTGATCAGCATGACGAGACGAGTCGATCTAGCCCTGTCTGTCTGTCTGTCCGTCTGTCCGTCTGTCCGTCCGTATGAACACCTGGATCTCAGAGACTATAAGAGATAGAGACACCAAATTTTGCATGAAGATGCGTTATGTGTGTATTCTATACGAGTTTGTTTTATTTTTTTGATTTTCCCCCCCACTTCCCCCCTATGGGGGTTTTCCCGATTTTCCATTCGTATAATCGCCTATATCTCGGAGACTATAAGACCTAGGAACACCAAATTTTAGTCCCAGATGCCTTATGTGAATACGCAGAAAATGTATATTTTGGAATTCCCCTCCCTCCCCCCTCTACCCCGCAAATCGTAACTCCCGTAATTCTTGGAATTTCGAACTAAAATTTTGGAAATACCCCCAGTTAGTTATTATGTGTCCGTATGCCAAATTTCATTATGATAGACCGATTTAACAAGAAGTTATAGCCATAAATATATTTGCTGATGCAGTGCTGCTGCAGCGCTGCTCAAGCGCTGCCCGCGGCTGTTGTTGATGTTGCTGTTTGGTTGACTGCGAAAATGCTTACACAGACACGAATAGATGCGCATAGGCATACATACACTCACACAGGCGCAATTTCTATGTAAATGTGCAATTATAAACCCTTTACGTGAGTTCGAATACCGAGAGAGGTAAAATCGATCAAATTTTTTTTTTATTTTCTTAATTTTTTTATTTTCTATAATTATTGTAAACATATGTACAGAGTATTTCAAAGTCGGGACACCCGACTTTAGCTTTTTTACTTGTTTTTTTTTTTTTTTTTGGGGCTTTATAAAGCAGCTAGAAGAGTATATACTTAATTGTAACCAAATGCACCAGCTTGGCAAATCAAAACCAAATTATGAACTCAAGCAGCCTTTGACTCGCTGGCATCTACATCCTTGTACTGTTGAATATTTGAATGCTCTATACAGATATTCTTTATAGGAGTACTCTAGCATATAATCAAAGTTTTTCCTAGACCAGCCCCTGAACACATTTTGTTTTGGTTTTGGCAAAAAAAAAAAAAAAAATGTGCATGTCAGCCACACTTAACCCCCAATAGGCTTAGCCAAGACACTTTGTCGACTCCGGACAATGTCTCGAGCCGGCAATTTGCATTTTATTTATATCTCTCGCATGCCGATGAACCCAGAAAAGAACAACAAATGCAAGCAAATTTGCTGGCAAAACTGTGGCAGACACGAGAAGCCGCAGTAAGGCCATAAGACATATTTTTGTTGGCTTCCAAAAACAGAAAAGAGAGACATTTTGTCAATTTTTATGCACACTCTTGTTTCGTGTTTCTTCTCCTTATATTCGATTTGAAATTGGGGGCAAATTTTTAGAGGCTCGCATGGCAAAAATAAAAAATTGAAAAAGAAAATGTATAAATGAATAAATAAAGAACACAGCCACACAATGCTGGCGCATAAAATTAGATCCGCACATACATACATACAAGTATGTTAACACCCGCATGCATTCATGCTCGTACATATGTATTGACATGTGAATATATGTACATGCTTACAAACCGACAAACAGACAGACAGGCATACTTTTATTTATGAATACGTAAACGTATCGATAAAGAGAGAGAGCGGCTAATGCGCACGTACAGCAGTGCGTATACGCAATGGCCGTGAGAAAACACGTATACGTAACAAGACAACAACAGCAATAACAGCAAATCGCGTCAACAAAAAATAAAATAGATAAAAAAATTTGATAAACATAGAAAGAAAGTGCTGAAGCGAAGAAACAGTGGGACGAGGCATTGGCAATTTCCATGCTCGTGTTTTTATGGGATTTCGCACAAGTAGTGGATGAACTATAGAAACGAAAAACAAGAAAAAGTACATAATATATGTATATATATATACACACATATATATTTGGTCGACAAATACAAGTTGAAAGGTGGGCGTGACGCAAAACGAATTCATAATTTAGCTCAGCACACAACACCATGTGACGCCTCATATGGAAGTGTGTATCCCGGCACAGGTGTTGCCCGAGCCCGTGCCCGAGCCCGAGCCTGTGACTGTGCACAAGCAAAGCCCACAAACTGTACAACTTTAATGATATTATTGCCTATTTATGAAGGCCATTTAGGGCACAATAGCAGAAAAAGTACTGATAAGTCATTTTAAAGTTCAAGCAAATAAATAATGGGGGAAAAACAGCACTCGACTGCTTCACTGCTAGCTTTTATGCGAGCCAATTTTGCGGATTTTTATCAGGTTTAGCTGCCATAAACATAAATGATGATATATTAAATTGAACGGATAGTTTTGATTAATTTTTGAATGAAACTTAGCGATTTTTGATTATTCTCACAGCTAGAGCGACGAAAGTGTCATTTGTCCAAAGATTTTCATAAGCTATGGCTAAGACAGTTTTAAAATATCAGTATTATACAACAAAGAAGCTATTGGAAAAAAAGTTTACTCTGACTTGAATGTGAACATATTAATAAACCTGAAACAATAAACGATTGCATCACTACAGTTGACATTTTCTAAGCTCTCTTAGCTGTTATTTACTAAGCTTTTTATTTAAGTTAAGACAAATAGAGATACACTTCTATTATAAATTAAAAGCATTTAAATGTAGGCTTTTTGTATTAGCTGGGACATAAAATATTTGTTAGACTGCTATTAAAAGATTACAATTGTTTACAATTAAATTTGTTGAAGAATACGTTTTAATATATGCTGTTCTTCATTAATTGTTCTTTATTTTGAGAAATAATATAAGTAGCTCATCATTTATTTAAATAAAGCATTAGCCACAGATTTTAAAATTGATCATGTAGTGGCGAAGGGATATATGTTAGCTGCATTGTTTAAAAGGGTTATTTGCTTTCATAGAACCTTTTGAAGACACAACTCCAGTTAGTAAATCTTTCACTTATATTATAAATTAACCAAAAAACTAGCTTCAACTTATTTTCAAATGCAAATTTCAGGCCCTCACTGAGATCTCTTAGAAGAATGTCAATGCAAATTTTAAATAAAGTGAATTAACCAAAAAACTAGCTTCAACTTATTTCAGAATGAAAATTTGAGGCCCTCACTGAGATCTCTCAAAAGGATGTCAATACAAATTTAAAGACATTGCAGGTTCTAGTAAGATATAATCACCACCTCGTCTACTTTCCGAGATGCAAGTGTTTATTCAAACAGAGAAGAAGCAGAACAACAATTTCAATTAACAGTTAAGCCCACTATAGAATATCCTATATCCAGAGCTCAGATGCGAAATCCCTTTAATAACACACTGAAATGCTCCGTGGGTGGTCTGCTTATGTGTGTGGCAAGTGGGCGCTTAATTATTGACACGCAAATGCCGGCAAATGTGTTGCACTTTGACCTTAAACAAGGCACGCCACGCCACGCAACGCAACGCCACGCAATGAACCCAAAAATTGTTGCATGGCGGCAACAAAAATTGTGAATAAGACTAAGGCGTTAATGACGCCGACGCCGAACGGCGGTCGACGGCGAACACTTGCAGTCGGACAGCGCGCTCTCTGCACAATGTTCCCGTTATTTGTTGGAGCTTTAATAACGGTATATTGTGAAAGCCTGTGCCACAGCATAAATTGTATTAACCCACACAGTCACACAAACACACAAACAGCGACGCAGACACTGGCGATGACGTTGCGTGCGTCTTTTTGGGGTGGCTTTGGTAACAACCCCCTTGCCATGTCTCTACACATTCCGCTACACATACATACATACATACACATGTATATAAGTAGTACATGTGTGTAGGTATGTATTTGGCAAGTGCGTGCATGCACATACATACATACATGCTGTTGGTAAGCCGGAAGTTATTGCTGCATTGCTGTGAAAAAAAACGCACACTCGTCAATCGATGGGCGGCACAAGTTGCCTTCAAAAGTATGCTACGCAGGCAGTCGTCGCTAACCCGATTCCGAGCTAGTTCCAATTAATTTTGAAAATCTTCGCTCAACTTTCTTCCTCACATTTCACCAGCATTATTCCTAGCGAGTCACTTATGTCTCTTTCTTTATCGCTTCTTTCTTTCTTTATTATATTTGTGAGCTGGGAACTAGTTCTTTCGTACAGCTGATAAGAAAAGAAGTCCAAGAAAGCTATTTTTTAATATTTCTTAAGTACACGCACAGATATCAGATAGAGAGTTGAGCATTCAATTATTCGTAAAAAAAAAACTATTTGTAAAGCACTTTATAACAGTATACAATATACAGTATTCATACATGTTTGAATGAAAGGAATAGAGCTACATAGAGGGGCTTGACATATGTTACCTGGTACAAAAGAAAATCCCCAAAATTATAATATCCACATATAACTTTCTAATTAATAAATATGTATGTGTGGAGCATCGTAGACCTATTTGAAAAAAATAAATTGCTACAAAAATAGGAATTTGAATCGAATGATATTTCATTTAATTTTAGTTTATATAATAAATATTATAAATAAATATAATATAATAATAAATATAAAATATCTATATGCAAATACACTTAAAAAGTCATCATCAACACGATAGTTTTTCGAACTGTTGGAAAACGATTGATTTTTATAGAAAGATTTACCATAGCTACCTAATTAGTTGTAATTAATAATCGTATTATGATAATCTGTTATATAATTTTAATATTGCTATTTATTTAATTAACTCATCTTACAGGGTCTGGAATATTTGTGTCACCCTCCGGCTTACTGGTTCGCACTGGTTCCGTTGGAATTAGCTTTTTAATCTGGCTTGCCTGTGGTTTGCTCTCTTTGCTGGGTAAGTACACACACAGACACACACAAGCACACACAGACACACACACACGCACACACAGACACTCTTTGCGAGTGACCTATTTATTGGCCATTTATCACTTGTTGCTGCCTTGCCACATAATTGCACGTCATTAGCGTGCAGCGTGCTGGCAAGCGTCCAACAAAACACATTTTGGCGTACACACACAACCAAATACCCTAACTCATTCACACACACACACACACACACATGAGTTGAAAGCAACATCCCTAACACATACGGTATCATCCAATTTCTCTGGGCTTTTTTTAGGCGCTCTGGCATACGCTGAACTTGGTACAATGAACACATCATCTGGCGCTGAATGGGCATACTTCATGGACGCCTACGGACCGGCACCGGCGTTTTTATTTTCATGGGTATCCACATTGGTGTTGAAGCCATCACAAATGGCTATAATATGCTTATCATTTGCACAGTATGCCGTTGAGGCCTTTGTCACGGAATGTGATCCGCCCATGGGTGTTGTCAAAATGGTCGCTCTGGTGGCGATTGGTAAGTCCATCATCTACGAGTATATGAAAAAAAATAGATGCACTCTTCAACAATAACAATCCAATTAAAAGTAATACTTAGATTCCAAGCTCTATTGAACACAAACCAAGAGATGAAGAGCAGTATGACCGTCTGTCCGTCCGTTTGTTCGTTCGTTCGTTTGAAGGCAACAATATTTGTTTGTAGACTTGTCCCATCCAGTTTATTACAAATCAAATATAGCCGATTTATTTTATATAGCCGGCCTAGCACCGATACTGAGAACTTTGTGGTTTATGACGATACCGTAGTATTTATATGTTTTTATAGTTTCTCACACTATAATCAAAAAATGTATTCAAATTGGATCAATAGATCATACAGCTGGCATCGAAAAGATAGGTTCAAAAATCAAACAGATCACTTTTTGTTAGTATTTTCAAGATCCCTATCAGGCCCCTCACCATAATCAAAACTAAACTATATCATATAGCTATCATAATAGGAAGCATTGGTGTAAAAAGCATTTCTAATAGCAAACAACTTTTCTTTTCTATAGGATTCTTTTGTAATACCTCAACATAAGATGAAGTTTCAGTAAAATCCTGACAGGATATATGAATAGCTAGCATAGGAACAATTGAGTGGCAATGCTGGTAGGATTAAAAAACAGATCATATAGTGGGTTTTTAAAATGAACATCGAGGCTTAAGTACAGCACCCATGTAGTATTTGTGATAATGGCTTGAGGTGCGCAGAGAAGGGATTGAAAAATGGATTTATTCTTTCAGCATATACTTTCGAAATAAATAGATTTTCAAAATAAACGGCAGAACTCGTGTACTATTTGAGATGCGCAGAGAAGGGATTGAAAAATAGATTTATTCTTCAAGCATATACTTTCGAAATAAATAGATTTCCAAAATAAACGGAAGAACTCGTGTAATATTTGAAATATCGCAGAGAAGGGATTGAAAAATGGATTTATTGTTCAAGCATATGTTTTTGAAATATAGTAGATTTTCAAAATGAAATGCAGAAGTCATGTAATATTTGAGATGCGCAGAGAAGGGCTTGAAAAATAGATTTATTCTTCCAGCATATACTTTCGAAATAAATAGATTTTCAAAATAAGCGGCAGAGCTCGTGTACTATTTGAGATGCGCAGAGAAGGATTGAAAAATGGATGGAGCATATATTTTTGAAATATAGAATATAGAACTCATATAACAGTACTTGTGTTAATGTGCAAGTGGAATCGATCGATGATGATATTGACGGTATGTTCTCTTCTTTTCCTTTTCATGCTCTCTCCCTCACACTCACTGTGCTGCTCCTGCCTGCTCCTTCTGCCTGCTGCACAGTCATGATACTGTTTGTCAATTGCTACAGCGTTAATCTGGGAATGGCCGTACAGAATGTTTTTACGGCCGCCAAACTGGTGGCCGTGGTCATTGTGATCTGCGGTGGGGCCTGGAAACTGTTTCAGGGCAACACACAGCATCTGACGAATGCATTTAGTGAGCCGGCGCCGAACTTTGGCGCCATTGCGACAGCATTTTACACAGGCCTCTGGGCGTACGACGGGTGGAATAATCTAAACTATGTGACCGAAGAGATTCAGAATCCGAGCAAGAACCTGCCACGCTCCATCATGATTGGCATACCGTTGGTCACCCTCTGTTATGCTTTGATCAACATCAGTTATCTGGCAGCCATGTCTCCCACCGAAATGATCGACTCTGAGGCGGTGGCCGTTACCTTTGGCAATCGAATCTTGGGCGCCATGGCCTGGCTAATGCCGCTCAGCGTCACAATCAGCACCTTTGGCAGCGCCAATGGAACGCTCTTTGCTGCGGGGCGGTAAGTGTGTGAATCACATCCCATACATAACTCCAATAGATGGGCAATTTTAAATGAGAATTATAAAAAAGGGATTCTATACGGGGTGTGTTACTACAGATTTCATTTCGTTTAGAATTTTGTTTACACCTAACGACCATATACTCGTAGAGCTAATTTTCGATGATTGAGCTGACTGAGGAGAGTACCAGGCCAAACCCCTCGGTCCGGGAGGTGCAATCGACACAAATTTTCTCGAGCTTTTAGTACCATGACTATACGAAGTATGTACCGATTTCAAAGACCATCTGCCCTGCTTCCATTTCCGTATCTTTTTTGCAAGCTACTTAGAAAGCGTGGCTCATTCCACCAGCAGGTGTTCCCATATCCGAATATATTTCCAAAACATTTCTATACCTCTTGCCCATTTGGTGGTGATGGAATTAAGAACAGTATGTTTTTGGGGCTTATCTTTTCATTTTATTGTAGGCTGTCCGAAATATAATATTTTTTAAAATACGTTCATTTCATAAAACATGAGAAGTCCTACTAAGTAGGTTCGAATCAGCTCTATTAGGGAATTAAATGCAAGCTGGAGTAGTTTTTTGTTTGTTTTTTTTTTTGTAGCTGAGTGCTTGGGATAATTATAGGGCTTTTTAATAACTTCTTGATAAGATAAGTCTAAAATAAAAGCTCGAGCTAGAGTTCTTAAATCTTACAAAAAACAATATCGAATATATCTTGTTGATTTACTAAAGTTTTATGCTCTGATCAGTAAATATTCTATTAGCTGAGCAGATCCGTCCAAAGTTAGCAAGGAGTGCGTAATAATAAGGTAGTTCGGAAAGAAATACACTGAATAATGATTAAAGATCGCGATCAAATCGAGCCCTATATGTATTAGTTGTGCATCCATTCGCGGGGCACAAGTTAGCTGCAATTTATTCTTTATGTGAAAATATAATGTTCATCTGATTTTAAAAACTTTAAACCCATTATTTTTGATTTATTGGTATTTTCTTTTAATATAAAAATCAACTCATTTTAATGGCTCTTTTAATTTTTGAGCACTTGAACTCCCAAATGACGTAACTACAAGTATATACATAATTTTTTTCATTTTTTGCATTCGAATCAAATGTTCTACCTTTACGGAGGCTGAGGTGAAACATATATTTCAACATAGCTTCAGTACTACTTATAGTTGTGTCCCATATAACTTGGATTCAATTTCGAAATTTGTATTCACGTGTATAAAGGACGTTTTCGTTTATTGAAGTTTTGCGGATTTATATAAACTCAGTCTCGGAGAAGTTCGAATAAAATGTATTCATATACAAATAAAAGTTTTAACATTAGTTTCCCCAACTGGGGGTCGAAATGCATCAGAAGCATATACATATATTTAAACTGTATCTAACACTTGATTTCTTATAGTTTGTGCTTTGCTGCCAGTCGCGAGGGACATCTACTCGATATTCTGTCGTATGTCCATATACGTCGGCTAACGCCAGCGCCCGGCCTAATATTCCACGTAAGCATCGGATGCTATAGTAATTGGAGTAATCCTCATTTATAAATACATACATATGCTATCATCAAACAGTCATTGATCGCCTCGGCTATGGTATTGTATGGCACCATCGACTCGCTGATTGATTTCTTCAGCTTCACCGCTTGGATATTTTACGGCGGCGCCATGCTGGCACTCATCGTGATGCGCTTCACCAAACCCAACTATCCACGGCCCTACAAAGTGCCAATTATCATTCCCGTTGTGGTCTTGGTCATATCCATGTATCTCGTTGTGGCGCCAATTATCGATACGCCGCGCATTGAGTATTTATATGCGGTCCTCTTTATCCTTACGGGGCTGATCTTCTATGTGCCGTTCGTTAAGCTGGGCATGACACCGCGTTTCATGAGTGAGTATCGACGATAAACATTGGGAGTGGCAGTCACCTCTTAACTATTTCGGTTCCATACCTATCTATATAATCAACCTATTATAACGTTTCAATGAAAGACCTAATGATCTTGAGAAATTCCATTAAACGTGATTTTTTCGGACACTTTTGATAGCCGAATAGTTTTGAAGTGATGACCCAGTCTTCGATAAATAAGTGACGATTTGAGCTAATCCAAATTTTTCATTTCCTTTCCAGACAAAGTAACGCTGTTCTTTCAGCTGCTGCTGGAAGTGGTGCCTACCTCATCGATGGCTATGTTCGAGTGATTCTGCAAAAATTGTGCTCAACACGTATGTAAGAACAAGTTACAAGAATGACGGGGAAGTGAGATATGAATGAATGGATATAAAAGGGAGAAAGAGAGAGAGAGAGAGAAAGAGAAAAGTAGAATGTACTTAGTTGTTCGGAAGCTAAGCAACAAAAAAAAAACCTAAACAAAAAGCAAAGCAAACATTCATAATTATTTACAAGAAAAAACAAAAAATAGGAAAAAAATCCTATAATTATATATTTAAAAAAAGAAAACAACAAAAAAACAAAAACAAAGAGTAACCTTTATTGATATATTGACGTTGACATTATGTGAGAATGATATGATGGCAAACTATTTGAAATAGTTTGGACACAAATATTCAGAGCGTGTTGTTATGCTACGAGCTGGTTACATTCAAATTATTACTATATAGTATATACATATATTTACATATACCTAGTACATGCCTATATATGTATGTATGTAGTATTGTATGTATAGAATGTATATAGCAAAGTTATGATATATGGCAAGCTGGAAAAAAAAAATAAAAAATCCAAAAAAACCTTAGGCTAGCCATATATTATATGCATAGTTGATATATATACATATATTTATGATTTATAAGTTAACCCAAAAACCAGCAAAAACAAATGACAGACAAAGTGAAAAAATATTAAATAAAATCTATAACTATTGATATGTCCAATGTAAATTGTTCTCGAAATGTTACTTGCCCAGAGACAGCAGAGGCGGGGAGCGTGGCAAGCTGGCGGAGAAATTGAGTTTGAGGTTATGTAGAAAGAAGGCAAATCCAGCTACAATAAAAACTACAGTCTCAGCTGGTAACTACATAGTATATACTATACATAGGTATTGAGGAAAAGTTCGTGCAGTACAGTCCAGTCTTGCGGTCCAAACAAAAAGCAAACTAAATCTCAATCAATGAAGTTCCAAAGAAAATAAAACAAGTACAGTTACACCGTTACAGTTACAAGACGAACACCCACCAACAGAGCCAAGAACTCAAAGGATCCCAGTCTTAACGCCACCACCAATTTGTTAAATTTAACAATCTGCTCGAAATGTTTGCGCCAAGATCTGAAAAAAATTTAATTTTGAATAGCAATATTTTAGTAGGAATAGAGATGAACAAAAAACAGAAAACAAACCAAAAAATATATATACACAAGTATATTGAAAAAAAAACTGAATGTTTCTAACTCGAGCTCGATGAGCGCTATTTGTGACGAAATCGTAGGACTGCAAATAGGCATTAGAAGAAATTTGTAATTGATACCAAAGTAAGGTTTAGAGCAAGATTTAAAACGAATTAAAAAGAGGAGAAAGCGCAACAACAACAAAAAACAGTAAAACCGTAAACAAAAAAATGCAATACATACATATTTGTATGAACATACTTGTTAAATTTTTGTAGTGCTTTGACAAATGTTGAAAACTATTTTACAAAGCGCGGTCGGAGGAAGAGGAAGAATGCCGCTGCAAATACTAACGGTATATCGCATGTACTATGTATACAAATGTAATTTTTGTTCTCTCTCGTTTTAAACGCTTATACATAGCTTAGAAAAAGACAAAGCATATGCTTGCCATCTCGCTCTAGCGCAGGCAAAATGCTCTCGCGCTCACACACATGCGTTCGGCGTACTATTTCTGTATAATTCATTCTTTCTTGTTTTCTATTCATTATTTTTTTTTCTCCTAAATGACTATTTTTCTGTTTTACTACATATGGGTACATTAATATTTAATGCTGGATAAAACTATTATTATATGTATGTATGACCACAGAACGGTGTAATAAATAATTATCTGTTAAGTTTTTAAATTTTATAATTTTTATGATGTCTACAAGATTTACAAGAGAAATTAAAACCATAGCAAACAGAAAATCTCTCTATCTCTATATACATACATATATAGATATAGATATACAGTATAGTATATATATACATGTAATGAATATGAATTGTATTATAACAGAACAATTTACGAAATAAAGTTTTTGAAACAAGTTGGCGTTGATAATAATTTACCAGCTCTGTCTAATTTGGACATTACAATTTCTCATTTATCATTCGAAATTCGATGAAACCACACGTACAAAATTAAGTTGTTAACTTTTTTTTATTTTATTTTTTAAAAACCATTTATTTAAAATATATATCGAAATATAGTACGATCAAGACTATTCATATTTGTGAGAGCTCGTTAAGTGCTTTTGAGTCTGAATTGGAACAGAGTTGTAGGGCTTTTTAACTGGTGTCTCCAAGTCAAGGTATGTATGTACATATGTATGGGTAATTGTGGCGATGAGTTTGAAAATCTTCCCAAATGCAAAATTTGCTCACAAATGACATGTTGTCCCAATTTAGGAATATTCCGGACTTTTGAAATAAGTTTACATATATGTAAGTGTATTCAAGATTGCCAAACAAGATATCTATCAGCAAGGTTGGCGGATAAAAAAGCTTACAGAGTTCCTTGGTTCTTGGTGGTGCCTTTTCCAATAGTATAGTTCTATTTGGACGAATCACTGTTTCAATTCTGAGGTACGTACTGAACCATTTAGGTGGCTTTGCGATATTCTCCAATCAACTGAAGCGTACAGGGACTTTAAATTGAAGTCTGCAATATGGAGGAAGAACAGGATAACAACCAGTCCGAGACCACAACGTCTGAAACAACGAAGCTGCGCGGTACTGTTCTTGTCGAGCACGGCATTGTCTTTGAGAAGGATGGTCTAGTACTCCAGGCCCGTCACTACTATCAGCAGGGTCTCAATGCATTGCTGTCCATGCTCACACCGGCGGAACATCAATTTGGCAACGCCGGTTTCTTTGAGCGTGTCGAACAGTACGGCCTCCGCATTACTCAAATTAACAATCACATCAAGGATATGGTAAAGGGAGCTAAGCCAGTGGAAGTGACGCGCATACCGGCCCAAACATACGGCTACAACTATGAGATTATCTTTGGCCAATATTTGACAGATGATACGCGCGAGCTCCTCATCGAGGAGCCTGTCATGGAGGACATATGTCACTTCAAGAATCTGAGAAGTTTTCTGGAGTTATTGGTGGCCAAGTGCCGCTGTCTCGAGTTTGTGGAGCTTTGTACGCCACGCAACAAGGACAAGAAAGGTGCCGACCTGCAGGAGACAGCGCTATGCCAGCTAAAGAATGACATGGGCACGGTGAAGCGCTACTTTGGTTTTCGCTTCGACAATAATATTAAGGAGATGCGTCTCATTTTTGACAATGGGTGTGTGGTGCGCACAGAGTCGAATGGTCTGCATCAGTTTGAGCGAGCTCAGGATAAATTGGAGCTGGATGGCCAACTATTTAGTGAAACTAAGGGGGACATTATCCACATCTACCGCTCGCCTAGGACATTCAGGCACGTACTGGAAAGGTTGTTATAAAAGAAAGCAAAGCGCATGAATCTGGCATTACTGATAGTTGTACTTAATTTAAATATCACAAGATTCGGGACAAATACATAAAATTTTGTCTGCCATATAAAGCCTATTATTGCTTCACTTGGGTTTTGGCGGTGCTTTTAACTTGAAATTCAGGAAACAGGATGGCAATCTCGCGTAGTGCCGATGCCTCGCTGTCCGATCCATGACAAGCATTTCGAGTATCCGATAGTCCATAGAGCGCACGTATGCATTGAGGCTCACTGTAGACCGCCCGGAATACTTTTGTGGGGCCCATCAGGGAACGCCACTTTTGTATGCAGGCCTCCGATTGCAAGATGAGCGCGTAGCAGGGTCCGCTATATCAAGATCAATATGTACATAGTAAATAATTGTTATTTATAGTAGAAGTAGCAATTACCTGTTCATAAAACTGGTCAGCCGATGGTAAAAGAACTTGCCTTGGTGCTCCGCATAAAATTGTTCCGACAGCTCTTTCGTAATACGCACCTCCTTGGCCTGAAGCACGTTAAAGTTCTGTTTGATGAGCTGTTTTACTTGTTGGAATGCATAAGTATTCCTCAGCACGTGTGGTTTGATTACCGCCAACGTGATTTCCATGTTTAAATGCGATAATTTATATTAATAATTTAACTAGTAACTAAATCAACGGCAAACCGGCGCCGCTTCTAAGTAATCGATAGACTAGTGCGCGCAGTCGAAAACGAATTTACACGAATATAGTTTAAATTTCCTAAAACAAAGAGTGCAATCTATATTTAAATGACTTACCTATGGCTGACCAATTCAATTAATGCGTATACTGGCATATAAACGTATTTAAGTCATTGGGTAAAAAATCGTTGATTTATCGATAAGCGACTACATGCTGTGATGCGCAACAGCTACACAACAGTGGCGCAGCTGTTGAGCCAATCAGCTGTTACACCGCATTACACAAGCAGCGGCTTAGTTTTTTTTTTGATAATATATTTGCGCTAAACTTAAATTAAAAGATCTGCAGAATGCCGTTTATGAAAGGACGCGAACCTGTGCGTCGCACGCTCAAGTACTTGAATGCCGGCAAGCTAGTGTTAAAGGAGAAAGTGCGCATTTTCAGCGTCAATTACAATACATACGGCGAACATCATGCTGGCGCGAGGTAAAACATATTCTTCTTAATAGCACACTTACATGTATTATTAATTCTGTTCCTTCCATAGAGACTTTGTGTTCTGGAATATACCACAGATACAATTCAAGAATCCTGCAGTGCAGGTGGTCACATTGAAGAACATGACGCCCTCACCATTTGTGCGATGTTATTTCGACGACGGCCGCGACATGCTCATTGACATCGACAGCCGGGATCGGGACCAAATTATTGAACATCTCGTCAAAGTAGTGGGCAAGACGCGGTAAGCAAATATCGCTAATTATGATGATATTTATTCAATTAGCGTATCTTGCAACTGTCTACCTGTCTGTCTGTTTCATCAACGTTAAACAAATCAAATTTGTACATTTCGAGCCATCTTTTTGTATCTTTATCGATACAATTTACAATAAGTTGTAAACAATTTCAAATTTTCACAAAAGGCGCTTGGCCTGAAGAGTCTTTTTAAAGAGTTTGTGGTCCAAGCGAAACCATAATCAGTTTCTCTTTCGAAGCTATTTTATATAAAGGAACTTTTGCTGTCCTAAATACAATCGGGCTGAAAGTAGGAAACGTCAAGTAAAATCTTATATTCAGTCAAATACTCTTCCTTAAAAATTATAAATATTTTATAAGCTTGTATTTCTCGTGTCAATATTTTCTAACAGGGAGCAACTGGCAGCTGAGGCGCATCTTGCGGAGAGTAAAGACAATCCCGCGAATTTTGGCTATGGCTGCGATCGTCATTGCATTTGCGAAATACCTGGCCAGGTGACATGTCCTGGCATTGTTCCTCTGCCCAATAATATGCGTGGAAAATTCATATTTGCGCCGAAGTAGGACGCTTCGTACGGATCGCACCCCCTAGATTTTTTCTACCAACATTTGATTTACAAACGAACTATAAATAAATATATTGTTATAAATTAAACATGTATAAATGATTACGTCAGACTGTATGCTACATGGTTTGTTTTAGGTGACCAGCGTTTGAGATGGGTCGCCACAGACTACAGGCTATGAGAAATCTCAGATTGGCAGCGCATTCAACGGCGTTTGGGCCGTTGCTGGCGATGATATGGCGCGGTAGATTTGTGATATTTGCCACCGGGCCCGGAACGTTGTGTATTATCGCGATCCTTGTTGAACTGATATCGCTGTATAAAAGGTACATTGGCATCGCCTCGGCCCACTGGATTAAGCTCCAGATTATCATCTGATTGACGTTCCAAAACTTTCAATTTGGCCTCTATGGCACGTATGGCCTCGGATTTGCTAATTTTCTCCTCCCGTTTACCAGTCCCGAGGGCAGGTATCTCAAGACGAGGTTTTGGCTTTTGCAAATCATCCTGTGAAATGTATTCTTAATCAGTCAGGAGCAGCCAAGAGAAAAATGTTTACTGAAAGCACTTACGTATTTGATATTCTTGGCCAAGCGTACGGCTATCGAGCGGCTGCCTACATTTATGCCGTCTAGTTTGAGGAGCGCATTTGTAGCGCCTTCGTCCTGCAACGGAGGGAGGAAATATGTTAAAACAGATGGTTAGCAGCATAAGCCACATGGGGTAAGTGTTTCATAATTAAATAAACATATTCTCCAAATGATTGCATTTTTTATACTCTTTTTTACTAATTTACTGAATATTGCGCAATGTTAAGGAGAAAGTTGAAGCACAAAGCAATGTTCAATAATTATTAGCCTTTGTACTGGCAACGTTTTACAAAAATCGAACGAATATAACATATTGATTTTACAGAGTCTTAAGGGGAAATGTGATGAAACTTACCTCCGCAAATGTTACAAACGCGTAGCCACGAGACTGACCGACCATGGGGCCGCCCTTGTGAAACAGCATATCGAACTTTTCAATGCGTCCGCATTTTTGCATTAGTTTGAGAAGTTGAAACCGATAGATTGGCAACATGGGCAATGTGGAAATATTAGTACAATTCAATTTGCAAGTCTATGCGCATTCATTCATTTGCAGCACAGTTCGCAACTTACTCGGTGATGCGCGAGTCCAGATTCCCCACCCAAATCCGTCGATGTTCCTCTGTGTTGTTTGAGGCAGACCCCGCGTTTCCGCCAGCTGTAGCAGTCGATGTGCTAGCCTGCATAGTTTTCATTTGAATTAAAATACATTATTATTATATGAAATGGCACTGTCGATCTTGTAACACTCACAGCGCTGGCCATTTTCAGCCTGAATTTGGCAATTTAACAATCTAAACAAAAATGAACCAAAGACCAAACGATAGAAAGTGTATCGATAACTTTTGAGCATTCACAATACTTGCTAGTATATTCCTACGCAGCACAGATATTTTGTCCGCTGCTTGCGGTATTTGCCGCTAGGGGCGCACCTACCATTCACAATGAAGCGGTGCCGCTTTTTTGCGTTATTACTTTAAATATTTGTAAGCTGCTCATTATTATTGTTGTTGCTTTAGTCGTTGTGCTTTTTGAACGTGTCACTTGTGCTAATGCAGTTTACGTGCACCCTGCTAACACAAATTGCCACAATTTATGCACCATAAAGTGATTTGCCGCACAAATTACATATGTATGCAGTAAATGACCAACATGTTGCTGTCTGTAAAAAATGAGCAAACGAGCAGTCTAAAAAAGATGCCTCACAGAGGCAAGAAATTGTGCGCAATACAGAAATTGCAGTATGCATACTAAAACGCATTTGCCTTGTGTCAACGGCAGCCAGAAGGAGTCCCTGTAGTCCAAGGAGCCCAAGCTGCCAAGCAGGCTCAGCTCTTGCCTCTTTACATATGCATGCGAGCGCTCGTCAGTTTTGCCCAAGCCTTCCAGGGCTGCAGTCTAACAAAAACCTGGCTATAAAATATCTAAAATGTTTTGAATCGACTGAAAAATCGAAAGAGGTATTTATTTTATTTTATTTATTTATTACTTTTATGAAAAATTTGTAGTGGGGAGAAATTATCAAAAAAAAAGTATGGTTTCTAACTTCAATTACTTTTATTTATACCAATATTATAAAGATTTGTTTAAATTGAACCGATTTCAAGAATTCTTTCACTGTTGCGAAGCTACAATATCCCCGGGTAACATAGTCTTTATTATATTTGCAAAAAAGGGATCCTTGGCAAAAATCCAATAATGTAACTCAAGCTGTAGTAAGGTCGGAACTCCTGAAAGTCAATTCATTTTGCTGCCACAAAATAAAACAACATCAAATATCGTTTACAGAGACGCTCTGACTTAATAAAGAATAAAAAATATATATATAAAAGAAAAAAATCAATAAAATAATAATATTTAAGCTATGAGTATAATTTTACTCTTTTTAAGTAACTCAGAGCCTAATTTTTGAAATACTTAAATTTCAATTAAATATAAATTTGTAAGTACTTAATATTTACAAAAAATTAAAAAACATCTTGGAGACAATTCTTTGAAATTGTATTTTAAAAGACATATAAAAAGATTATCTGAGCACTTTTAAAATTAAAACAAGAAAGTGAATTCAAAATTCTAATGGTTAACAAAATGTTTTTGTTTTCATACCGAATACAAAATTTATTTCATACCAGGACTTTCTTATACTACGTATATACTTGTACGGGTGAATGCTCGTATGTGTTTGGTTTCGAAACTTGGGTAATTACTCAGTTTATGACTAGCTTAAGCTGATTTATTATCAATGGCTTAGTTTGTGGGTTCGTTAAAGACTGCAGCCACTAACTTGTTGTCTCAACAGCCAGCCCTGACATTTTGTTTTTGTTTTTGGTTTATTTTTTGTGTTGAGTGCCCGGAAAAAACTCGATATGCATGCCAGGGTGCGGCGTCTCGGTGAATTATTTAAACAAATGACGTCGACAGCATTGCACGATATATGGCGAGTGTGACAGCGACAACAACAACAACAACAACTATAACAAATACATATGCATATATACATATGTATGTACATATGTATGTATGTATGTATGTATGTATGTATGTATGTATGTATGTGTATAAGAACACTCGTATGTATGTAGACATCAAGACCCAGTTTTTCATCATCACTCCGTAACTCACAGTGGACAGGCACCGTGGACGTGGCATTGGCTCCTCCAGCTACAGCTTCAGCTTCAGTTCCAGCTCCTGCTGTTCCTCCTCTGGCTGCTAGTTCTGCTGCTTGTTAGTGGTGCTTCAGCTCAACGATGGTAATTTGTGTTGGTCGTGCAGCTGAATGCCACACAGGGACATAGGGACACAGGGACATGGCTTGGCGAGTGTCACGGAGGTCGGTCAGTGGGAGGGGGGCGGGGGCATGTATGGAACGGAAGGCACATCGTTGACGATGGCGGCAACGGATGTTGCCCAGAGCGTTAGAACTTATCGCATACAATGCGCATTAGCAATGTCTACAGGCGTCCGCATGAAGTTATTTCATCCTGTCCATGCAACAGCGCTCTATTGCATATTTCAAGGGGCTGTGGAAAATCCTTTGCCTTTGTCGTCTCTGCCTCATTCCTTTTTTCCTTCTTTTCATTTTCTGTTGCATATTATTTGCGAAAAGCATTCCTTTTGCCTTTTGGCTGGGGTGTTCATTTTTTTTTGTTTTTATTAATTTAACTGGCACTTAGCACTGGCAAACGGCATTGCAATCCTGCGCCTTTGCATGTCCAGTTGTTGTTGGTTTTTTCTTCCTTTTTCATTGCTGGATGCATACATTTGTAATCATTGGGTGGCGATTAAATAACGACTAAATGGAATGCGTTTTGTTAGTAATTTGTAGATTATTTCTCTTTGCCAAAAATTGTTAAACGATGCTCCAGTTCCGGGATTGGAGCCGTTTCATTATTTTTTAAAAATATTTAGGATAAAGTTCTTGATTGAGAATATAATCGCATATCAGTTCTTAATGACGTATTATTCTTTGATTTACTTTCTGTGGAAGGACTACCACTATATAGTATAACACAATATCTTTTTACCAACTCGATTTGTATAAATGTTTATCCCTTCTGAGCAATATATGTAGTTAAATAATTTTTCAATTTCGACTTAATGTTTTCATTTTAATACATGTGATCGATATTTACAGATAATTTTGTTAAAATATTCTTATGCTTTAACACTCGTAAAAGCTTTTCTTTAGACGGCTCTTAAAAAATCTTCGAAACCATGCCTTTTACATTGAAAACAAACGGCATTAGTCTATTTTTCTAATACTTAGTTATATAGCCAGATATTTTAGCTCGATCGAAAATAAAAAGAAGTCAATCAAAATCCAGTTTAATAATTGATAGGAAGTTCTCAAAACAATAAAAGAATTATTCACCACTTCCGTATTGTATATATTCATATATATATTTGAGAAAGCCTAGCTTACACATTTAACATTTTATCTAGCTGTGGCAAATGCTTGCTAAATTCTATTGATTTTCTGTTAAATGAAGCCCCAATCTTTTTTCAAGCGATATGTGGTCTATTTTTACAGCCAGTACAGATTTGAACAGATTAATCCGTCTGGATGAACGCCTGGATTTCAGAAACGACTGAACCCACACGCCAAACTGTGTATATAGACTGACATTACGAGTTTATTTTATCTATTGGTTTTGATTGCTTTATTTCCGAAAATCTGGGACATCGTTAAGATTTGTCTGCAGATATGAATAGAGCAGCCTTTGGTGAAGCAGTTTTTTAATCGTACAAATATATGATCAATATGAATCGATCGGCTATTGAATTGGTCAAGTGTTTCGCGAAGCCTTTCCCTTGCAGCGTTAATGAAACAAGGAGATTTCTTTCGCAAAGGTCGCCTTAACACATTGTATCTATCTAATAGCAGCACAGTATAGTTTGCGGAAACATATATAGTAGTTTAAGAAATATGTGCTTTGTTATTTGAAAGAGTTAATGCTGCTCCTTGCTTCTTGGTTCTTTTCTTCTCCTACAACATTCCTCTGTTTAGTTGATATTCAACCAAAAATTAGCCACAATGGCATTTCAATTACAAATAGCCACTTCCACCACTTCACTTTTCCACTTCCACTTGCCACTATCAGCTCGCAGGACCCTCTCCAGTACTCGGAACGCTGGCGGCAAATTGCGAAATGGACACAAAATTGTTGGCGTTTACAAGCGCCTCCTCTCTACCACATTTTACGTCCTGTTCCTCATTTTTGTTGTTGTTGTTGGTTTTATTTTTGTAGTTGTAGTTCATAAATATTACTGCTATTATAACTGCACACATACTCACTCGCACTGCCATTGCCCAGATATTCAGATATTCAGATACTCGGATACTTGAATACTTGGATACTCTGGGGCTGGGATGGTGGACACATCTCTCTCTCTCTCTGCAGAACTTTGTATTGTGAAAGGAAACCAGTTCAAGTGCTTGGGAAAAATGTAAAGACATCGTCATCTCTAACGTTGTTGTTGTAGCTCTTGCTGCTGCTGTTGTTGTTGTTGTTGTTGTCGTTTTGTCGTCTGTCTGGGTGACTTAAGTTGTTATAAAAATGCAAATTTTTTACAGCTTTTGCCGTTTCCTACTACGAGTACTACGACTACAACGGCTAACTGTTCTGCATGCGTGTAAGAGCATCCTATCTCTGCATTCCCCTCAACCCCCTACCCGTTGTGGTAGACGTAAAATGTTTATATAACGATAACTACACGAATGGTTGTAATGATTTTGTCATGAGTTGAGTTTTCTACTGTCAAGCAGAACTCTGGGAAAAGGACAAGACGTCCTAGAGGGTCTAGAGCTGAGCGCGTGATAAAACCCCCCCACCACGATCTCGGCAGTTCCCGATAGAAATGTTCCCGACATGTTTGATTTCCTGGCCGTTTTCTGTCTGAAACAATAAAGCTTAAATTATGTAAAGGACCTGCATTTTTATAGGCTTTTTTATTTCTTTAGTTTTACTTAGTTTAAGTTCTCTATTGTATTGATTTTTTTATGTAGTCGATGAAAAATAAATAATTAAAAACAAGGAGCATCTGCAAAACAAAAAAATATAAAACGATGACAAAATTCCAATGGCGAACCAGGATTTGATTACTAGTAATGATAATGGTTTATTTCCCGGTGACTGGAAATAAAGAATCAATTTTTAAATGATCTTTGGGACTGCCCAGCTCCGAGTTCAGACTTGATTGTTATTGAAAATATATGGTATTTGAGTCTTTAGATAACATCAAAGAAGCGTGCCCTTAGAGGTCCTTCCT